ACGGATTGAGTCATGTTTTATGAGTCAACATGATGGAACAGAGAACGCTGGCAAGAACACGTTATTCAACGAAACCAAAAAGGACACGGTAAATTGGAGTATTCGACGGAGTAAAGCATCCTGCCAACGAACCGTTTCCCGCAAATACCACGTTGACTTCCGTATCAACTACCACGATGTTATTGATCCAACACGCTACGACTAGCGTTACTGATCGCATCAATCAAAGCTCACAACACAGATTATGAATTACTAAGAAGCGAACTTTGCATTTACCTTGCACTCGTCTTGAATAGTTGCAATTGATCTCGTCGGGTGGTAGCTACCTCTACAGATCCCTCTATTCAAGTAGTATTTCCCCACGTTAGCACGATGAAGCTTGTTGCCTGTCTGGAACTTGGTAGATACCATCGTCTGTGTTCCTGGCTATATAGAACATTGAAGAGAATGGACATTTGACACCCTCCCCCTCAACAGGAAGCTGAGTCTGGGTGGTTTTGTTGCTGTCCTTTTGGGACCTTTGTTTGTAAAAACGACTCCTTGGACAACATATGGTAATGTGATTCCGCCTCTTATCAAATCCCTTTTTTTGATGCGGAATCCAGCAGTCTTGCAAGGAAGTACAAAGTATGGCATCAAAACTTCTTTAATATGCGCCGGATCACAAGATTGACATCGAAGGTAGCCAATAACACCGTCGATTTCTCCATTGATAATTATCGAACCCCAAGAGTATCCATAATGTTTATCTCTTTGGCGTATCATCAGCTAGTGAGTTGCTACATTCACAATGGGAAGCAGGAGTCCATTCTTCATCATTGATATTGTATCTAGCAACATGAGAGAGTTCAGATAGTAAGAGTCCATTTTACTTGATAAGCTGTCAGGTATTATGGCCTGCAACAGTGCATCTTCCTCTCTGCCTCCCAAACACCTGGCAAAACACCTGCAAAAAAACTTGCAAAAATTCGTCACTATGTATTATACGTAAAACACGTACAACACATAATACATGTAATACGTATAATATTGTTCCACTTGTGTTATCTGTGTTGTACGTATGACTTGTCTAATACATATTAAAAATGTTATATGTGTAATACGTATGATCTGTAGAATACATAGTAAAAATGTTATACGTATAATACAACCGCGTGCGTTTCAGGGGCTCTCACAGGTAGTACTATCCGGGATAGTAACCTTACATAATAACGACGCTGTGTCCTATTACTACCCTTGCTACGATAGAGGGATCATCTATTGTTTGGGGCGGGGACGAGCCCACGAAGCAAAGGGCAAAATGGAAGAGGACATGAAGAAAAAGAAGACACAGAGTCATGATGGCAGTGGTCAACAACAACAGCAGCAAAACAGAAACTCCTTTGATGCAATTGACAGAAATGTTGGTGCGAAGAAAGGGGAGCAAGAGAAGAAAGAAATTGTAGAGCTGGTGGTTGGAAGTCAGGGGCCAACCACATTTCCCAGCAGTTCTCAGCCAAATCACGCCCCACCCCCGGCACTTGTTCATGATGTTATTAGCGGCATTCAGCCGTTACCAACAGAATCTCCACCAGCCCTGAATCGAGCACAAAGGGCCTCAGAAGCGAAACCTGGGGCCTATGCTGTGGCGGGGATTAGACCCATGTTTCATCGCCCAAGAAGTAGGTCATTGCCTGGAAGGATTCCTGACACGGAAGGGCTGGGATTGGAATTGGTGCCTACCGGTGCATCTCAAAATGACACAGATCTCAATTGTGGTCTTATTCATGCTGACCCAGTGGATGAGCCAGAATGTGGGGAGATTCCAACAGCAGATCCATTAACAACAAGAGCAAACAAGTTATGGAAGAAGGAACTATGCTTGTTCCTCTCGCTGGAAACAATTATTGCCCAAGTGCTTGTTACATTAATTCTTGTGATATTTCTTCTTGCTCCTCAATCAAGTAATCAACAAACACAGTCAGCAAAGCAGCAAAATGGAGTAATTCCAATACAAGAAAATCCAGGGACAATTGCTTCAATCACACAAGAACCAACAAAACTATGGGAAAGACTAAATCTACCTGAATACACCCTCACGGCAATGGAAAATCATAGGTCTCCACAGACCAAGGCATATCAATGGATAAGCAACAATATCAACAAATCCAACAATACGCAACATCTCCCGGTATGGAGACTAAAGCAAAGGTTTGCACTGGCCACATTTTATTATTCAACACGGGGGGACTATTGGGTGAAAAATCAAGGCTGGCTGAATTGGGACTCCAATGAGTGCAACTGGGAACAAATTCGTGAGAAATGGGACCCAAACCCAGCAGCTTATTGTGATGATAACGGACAACTCCTTTCATTGCAATTTTTGGGTACCAACAACTTGGATGGAACGATACCACCAGAGATATCCCTGTTGCAGAAGAGCTTGGAAGAACTTGCATTATCTCGGAACCTCCAGCTCAAAGGAAATATACCAACAGAGGTTGGGTTGATGACAAGGCTGACTGCCTTGTGGATTACCGTAACAAACTTGTCTGGCATGCTCCCTACAGAACTAGGTCAAATGCAAATCCTTGATGAACTTTTCGTATCCGGTGAACTTTTTGTTGGGACTGTACCAACTGAGCTTGGCAGCCTTACTAACCTGAGAACGATGATGTTTTCAACAACAAACCTTGAAGGTAAGCCTGAAGACATTGTCATGCTCTGAAATGATACCTGATGAAATCATAGACTCATTCAAGCTCTCTGCCTACACAGGGTCCATCCCCACTGAAATTCTTCGATTGTCAAACCTAAAGACTTTGGAATTCTCAGAGTGCCCTATGTTGGATATAAAATCTTTCCTCACCGAAGTAGTTGGAAACCTTCACAATTTGGAGGCACTGAGTCTAGACTCTCAGAAACCTGGGGGGCTCACATCAATCCCATGTAAGTGCCATTAGTCCTTTCTTGTCTTCATCTTCTGGTTTCTGAACACGTTTTTCAAACTATGTTTTGAACAGCTGAGATTGGGAAGCTGTCCAACCTGGTAAATCTAATCTTCTGTGACTTGCAACTCAATGGCACAATTCCAAGTGAGATAGGATCGTTGACCAAGCTAGTAAGTTATCGTGGATGAACCTTTTGTGGTATTGGTTCCTCTATTCACTAAGGGAATTGTGCCACTTTTCTACAGAACCACTTGAACGTAGATAGGAACTCCATCACTGGCACTTTACCAGAAGAGTTATCAAAGATGTCCCGTGAGTTGTCTTCTCTTACCAGATTTGCAAAATTTATCTCATTCTGATGCTTATGCTTTTCCATCTGTCTGCTCTACCTCAAGAGCTGGAAGGACTGCTCATTAGTTGCAACCAATTAGAAGGCAGACCGCTTGAACAAGGTGTGCTTACCCAACTCACCCAGCTACGGAAGTTGCATATCAATGACAACCTCTTCTCGGGCTCTATTGCAACAGAAATTAGTTTGTTGTCTAGTCTGAAGGAGCTTGAACTGCAAAATACCCACCTATCTGGGACCCTTCCCACGGAACTACTTTTGTTGGACAACTTGGCCAGCTTGGTCTTGATGAACACATCTGTATCTGGGAGCATCCCTGATGGATTATGTGGTGTCGTACTCTTCCACGTGAAGTGAAACGTTTTGGTGCGAATATCTATGCGGTTCCAACGACCAACCTGTCAGCCTGCTATGGAACTAGTCTATGTGGCTGTGCTTGTGAGCATTGGCCAAAAGCATGACATGATTGTTAGATTGTTTTTGCCAACTATCTACCAGCCATGAAAGAGTGGTAGTGATGGGAGATTACGATGGGGTTAGATGGGACTATCAATATGGATGTGAATGGAGCCAGAGGACGAGGGCAATGGGCAAGCAGGGCGTGAGCCAAACAGGCAGGGAAGCGGACCAAACGAAGGAGGAAAGGAATGAATGAGGACAGTCAGGGGAAACGATTGCGAATGGAGCAGAGGACAAAGCCTAGTAGCAGTAAATATCACGAGCGCCACGATAGTGCGTTGCCCCCGAGAACCTCGTACGACTGTAGAAGCTAGCTAATAGCTAGGTTGGTGAGGCCTCGTTGGTTGCTAGCTAGGAGCTGACTGGCTTGGTAGAGGTAGGGCTCGCAGGATTATCAATCTCTACATGCCGGAGAGTGGCATGTATCGACGAGCTCGGTGCAGCACAGTTGCTGCCCCATCATTACCATACCATAATATGCAGATCAGGATGCCACTGAGACCCAAGCTAAATGAGGTTTCTGACCCTGAGATTCGACCGCCTCCTGTTTTCTTTGCCCGTTGCATGTCCTTCCTCCTTTGGCCATGCTGGTTGCCACCCAATGCCCTTGGAACCGCAGTACGTTTATGCCGGGGTGGCTTACTGTATTTGATCGGTCTCTCGGAAACGTTTAAATCCATGCAAAATTTTCGGACGGGGTTAGCCAGGATCGAAGAGGTCGATCGCCTTTGTATCCAATTTGCTGAGGCAGGTTGCTTGTGAAAAGACACACTCGACCCCTTTTACTTCTGCTAGCACATCCGCGGTTGCCTATGGTTGGAGATACCGGTACTCAGGAAACACTGGAGCTGCTGTTGCCCAATGATCGTTTCAACACCTTCGTCCATGGGTGCTTGGAGCTGCTAAGGTGCTATTGTGTCAGCTGCTCCTGGTGAATCTAATGTATACCGGAGCTGTACTCCGTCTGGCTGGGTGCTCCTTAGCTCCAGTAGCACTACCGGTAGCTAGTAGGCAGTGTAGCTGCTCAGGTCATAGTACAAGTTGGACTTGAAGATCTGGAGCCACCTATACTGTCAAGTCGGGCTTTGGATCTCTCTCACTTTGATCTGGCGTCGAAGCTAGCTAGTGGATGTACGTGGTCGCGGTAGGCTGCGTTCAAAACTTATTTATTGTGGTAGCTACCTTAAGATAATCTATGGCTACTTGGCCTGACTGTCACTCAGCCCAAGATGAAAGGCTCTATGCCCCCCTATAAAAAGTTGTAGAACTGAAAGCAAGCCAAACGATTAGAGCACATGCTCCTTGTTTCGGAGCTTCTCCCCTCCAAAGCGAAGGGTTGTTTCCTTGGATTTGACAGGCTGGTTGTCCTGGGGAATCTTCATCTTGGTCATGAGATAGTCAGCGTAGGCTTGCTCGGATGGTGTCATTTCCTTGCTGTCCCCGAAGCACGCAGCAATGCTGGCAAACTCGGAGGGCTCCTTGTCACACTCATCAGCGAAAGGGACAGCAGCATTGGCAGCGGCAGATCCTCCGAGGAAGGCAACACCGGCAGTGGCAACGGTCTTGGAGAGGAAGTCACGACGAGCGTTTCCAGTGGGCTTGATGTCAAAGGCTGTGGCGGTAACAGCGAGAGAGGCGGCGACGAGAGAGAAAACTTTCATGGTGGATGGTGGATATTCAGAGAGTGCACGATGTTTGATCAAATTCTTTTGTAGAAAAAATTGTGAACGAGAATGCAGAGTTGATGGCTGATGAAAAAGATACCAAAAAAATCTTTCCACTTTTCAACTCCGACAAGAGTTCTTCCCACTTTTCCACTCCGACGACAAGAATCCAATCAAATCGCTCGCTAAATCTATAGTCAACGACAACAAGAGAACAATCATCATGCAAAACTGTGAAGAAACCATAAGTTGATGCATCAGATTGTGCCCCAACTGTTGCGTCTGTTCCTGGACGTCTGTTGAGGAACATCTGTTGTGGGACTCTGGTTTCGCGCTAAAAAATTGCATCCAATAGGACTGCGTGCGCAACGACTCGTCACTCTTGACTCGACAAGCCAGTTCCATCAAAAGGATCTTCTGCTTGACATCTTGGCATACATGTACTGTACAGTATGCTAATGAGGCCCCCTTTTGCCCTGCTCCCGTCCTCATTGCTCTCCCCGTCACCGCAGCCACTGCTCTGCCTAGCTTAGACCCCCTCGCTCCTTAACGTATCTATTTTGTATTTGTTTTCCTATGCTAATGAGGCCTATCGCACAGAGCTCGCACAGCCAGGAGCTCTGTTGTCTACCCGCCAGAGCTGATTGCAAACCGTGGACAGCGTTACAATAGCTAAAGTTTACTCTAAAGTACAAGTACGAAGAGCCACCATCAGAATCGACGATGCTTTATTCTGCACTGTTCTGTCAATGTTGGGAGCCATTCACAATAAGAGGCAAGCTTTGCTCAGTATAACTATCATGCGAGCTAAGCTGATGGCTAGACTCTTCTTCCATTGCCAAAGATGGGGGGTTCACCCAATAGATTGTCGCGGCATCACTACCAGGTGAACCCAGACGTCCTTTTACTGTGGTTGAGACATCTGGAGCTTGCTCTTCCAACAAGCTCTGCGCACTCTCTGTGCAAACGATTCTGCCGCCTTCACATTTGTGGCCGGCAAGATAGGAAACCGTATCAACGGTGGGCCCAAACAAGGAATAGCGAGGAACACGACTGCCGACGACCTTTCCTCGCACCAGTCCCGAACCAAACGCAACTTGAAGCTGCAGAAAGCCTCGTTCTGGGTGCCCTTCGTCGATGAGAGTCTCGTCAGCTGCTTGCACGGCATTGATTGCAAACTGGTAGATTCTCTTTGTGTGGTCAGTGGATTGGTCATGGACACAGTTGGTCGCCCCCATCCAAGCCCCGCCTCCGCTCAAGTCGATCTTGAAAACTTGGTGCTCATCTGCAAGCGTATCGAGTCGATCAAAGAGTCGGTGCATCAAATCGGCAATCTTGATTGGGGCCAGCTCTGCTGACAGTCCTCCAAAACCCACAATCTCGCAGTAGACTACAGTGGCCGTCTCGTATGTTTCCGGTTCCACGGAACGTCCTTCACCAAGGGCCTTGGCAACATGGGGAGGGAACAGCTTATCGAGAAAGAGTAAATTGTTGCCGGGGCTCTCTTCTGGAGCCACCTTGTATTCTGCATCTTCCTCTTTGAAGCGAATTATTCGTTTGCTAAGTTCATCGATAGTCGGTCGCTCTTCCGGGTTGGCCACGAGACAATCGTGCATCATGGCCGCAACACAAGACTTCATTGTTTCCGGAAACGGCGGTCGCAAGTTCACCCGAGGGTCTGCGACCTGTTTCAAGATACCCACGACATCCGTGTATTCCCCACCCTCATAAGGCGATGATCTCGAATACAGTTCAAAAAGAAGAATCCCCAGAGCATAAACATCTGAGGCTGTGGTGCTGGGGGTGTCTGCCCGAAGCAGCTCAGGTGCCATGAAGAATGGTGTGCCAGCAGTTCCCGACCCGAAATCAGACACCTTGGCGCGACCCCTCCCATCTATTAATATGTTGTTCGATTTAATATCCCCATGGACGACCTGGTGCGGCTTGGCATTGTGAAGAAACATGATTCCCTGGGTGATATCCTTTAACACGTCCAGGATGAATCTCCCATCAATTTGAGTATTCTCTGTATCCCGCAAAACGGTGTAGAGGCTCCCTCGCTCCATATACTCTAGAACCATCATGGGCAACGATTTACCCTTTACCACCGCGCCCATGACGCACACAATATTGCGATGCTGTAGCTTGGACAAGAGCCGAATTTCTTCGATGAAGTCATCTCGTTGATTTTTTCGTTTCACAACCGTCGAAGATCCACGCCAGAGCGCAGCGGGCCTGATTCCAGACGTTGCGGTTGCGTTGGTAATCTCGGAAAAGTTTTCCTGCGGCTTTGGGAGAATTTTGGAAGGAAGTGGCCGATCCGACTCTTGAAGCCCCTTTTGCATACCACTCGCCGTGTCAATACTTCCTTTACCAGAAATGGTAATGTCCGGGCGCTTTCGTCTGGATTGTACGGGTCGAATCGTCTTGACCGCCACACTGCTGCCACGATACTCTGCCAGCAAGACGGTCCCAAAACTCCCTTCTCCCAGTGTGACGACTGGCTTTCCAAAATGAATGTCGGACGGGTCAATTTCCCAAATGGAATCTGCAATTTGTTTCCGGCGTCGGACATAGAGAAAGAGAGCCAATAGTGCCAGCACCAAAATGGGGACTACAAATGCCATGACCAGCGCCACGGTTTGAAGGCACGTTTCATTGATCTCCACCGATCCCGATTGGCAGATGCAATTGCCGTGAATGTCTGCCACACGAGCGTCCCCGCAATCCTTGGCCGTGACGAGGACCGAAAAGGGGATGGTAATGGGTGCACTGTAGAAACAATCGGGATAGTGATCATCTTGCACTTCAAAGACTATCGAATCGGATTGCGTCCCGGTCGCGAGCAACTCCGTGGCGACGGAAAAGTCAATGGGAAGATAGTCTCCCGATCGCAAAATGTACGGGCTCTCCTCAAATAGTGCATAGTCGTTGATTTGCACCCAGTCTGGCATGCTTTTGAGTGCCAACTGGACATCGAGACTTCCTCCATTGATAATGGTACTGCTCCCCTGCAGGACGCTCCCCTGCGTCCCTTCCATGGTGACAGTCGGAGATGGCTCTCCCGGTCCACCCATGATTGTTGGTCCATTGTTGCTCTTGGTAATCATGTACACTTGAATGGCATTGTCGACTTCCCGCGTGGGTGCAAATACCAATAGCGTCCAGTCAGCGACGGTATTCCAATTTTCAAACATGACATAAAATTCGGTCGGATCTCTATTTCCCGTCAATGTGACATTGAGTTTGACAAACTCTCTCTCCCCCGGTGTTGTCTTGCGGACCGTGCCCCAGAGTCCCTTCCAATCGGCATTTTGTAGGAGCGTGAGCGGTTGTAGAATGGTATCGGACGGCAAATAGGTTTGATTGCGTCGATCGTTGACGATACTGCCATCGACCAAATCGAACGTGACCCGATCCATTTCAAAGCCCGTGCGTGCGGGATAAATGCGATGAACGACTTGTTGGGAAATGACAATGGTGTGAAAGTCCTTATCGACGAGCAAGCCAAAACTACTCGGTGTGAGACTGTCTTGTAGGACATCGAGAAAGGCAGAAACGGAATTGACTTGCATGTCGACTCCCAAGGAAGCGACAAAGGTGTCGTTGTAGTCGTAGCCATGAAAGGGCCCCGTGAAATAGACCGGAGCCGTGGCGGTAATGAGTGCGACTCCTTCCAGAGCCACGTCGGGACTGTGAATGGAGGAATGAGTAAGGAAGAAGGAAAATATAGACAGAAACAAGTAAAGATGGGTTAGCATACTCGAACCTCCCTGCAACCTTGTAGTAGGTTACTGCCTGAGCATGACTCTGTCAGCCTGTGTCCTTCTCATGCTGTATCAGGGACTGCACTTACTATGGAGCTGTAAAGGAAGCTTGTCGCAGTGGATTGTTTTCTGGTAGATTGGGGACAATAAATGCATCTTGGGAGGAATCGTACTGTCCTCCCACGACGTCTCCCATGGTGAGTGGATGTCCATAGACTGCCAATGGCGGGTAGTAAACGACGGCATCGGCCTTGCTGACGACCCAGGCCGCCGTGTAGAGTGATTCGAACATGAAGGATTCCTTCTTGTCTCCTTCGCTTCGCCCATTTTGATGCGATTTCCACCACACATCTTCTCGCGACTTGCGATCGACAATCCACGGCAACAGTGGCGACAAGGCATCCATCATGAGAAAATCCGTATACAGGTCTCCCACGAGTGGTTGATGCGCCAAGCCCACAAATCGATCCATTCGACGATTCGGTCGATCATCCGTATAGCCCAAGCCAGCTTCCACGGATGTCGTGCCCCGTGTCAAATTACGAGCTTGCCAATCCAACGTTGCTGCCAATTCGTCCAGCGAATCAAAATCACTCGTCCAATTGGCCGTCAGTGCGGATTCACTTAAATACTCGCGCATCAATTCCACATCGTCAATGGCTTCAGCGAAAAAATTGCGGGCATTGGTCGACACCAAACGAGTCACATCCAAACCACCAATTGCATCGCAAATCTTGTAGTCTTTCGTGTCGTCTGCGCTTCTATCGCCGAGGACCATGGTGAATGTTTGTCCTTGCTCTTTCTCTTTGTCTCCTCTCCGATGCTCTGCTCTTCTCTTGCTTTCTCGCTGCGCTTTTATTATGGTTGTCTCTCTCTGGCTTACGGCGAGGTTTGTGAGGACCCGGACGCCGTGTCAAAAAAACAGGCTGGCAGCACATGATAAATCCTTTTCGATTTCAAGAGTTAAGCCTGTTCTGCTCAGACCTGTCAACCTGTTCTCCACTCATAAGTATCTTTGGTACAGCTGCATTGAACACACAAGATTGCCCTGCCTGATTGCTTAATGGTTTATTTCCCAATTCGGTACGGTACCAGCATGCAAACTTAGTTAGACCTATTGAATTGTTACAGTACACCAACACTACTGTGTCCACATCCAAACAAAACACAGTTCACACCCCCACAAATGTACCAGGTATACTGGTACCTGGTAAAAACGGCAAACATCATAAAGGAGACAATGTTTCAGCAATGGAAAGAAAAAAGCCAAGGATGCTTGTCTGGATGGTAGACAATCTAGTGAGTAGATAGCTACTCTAGTACATGTCCTCTACTAGTAGCTAGCTAGACTATGGCGAATGGGTGTAACAATGTAGCTACCGTACAAACATCGTCTTGTGGTGGTTGGAATGAGCGATCAGCCATCAGGAAGAAACAATCCCAAGTCACATTGGAGCTCATTGGACGCTCAAGTCGCTTTTTGGGATCGTCTTAATTGTTCAGCAGCCTCTCGCTAGCTAGCTACCGGTAGCTAGCTATGATAGCTATTGTTTCCTCATCTGCGTTCCTTCCCTTGGCAATTGAGAGTGTCATGGCTTCCCAACGAATTGCAACAGTCCAATAATCCTCTTTTCTTCAAAAAGGATTTAACGACCATTTCTAAACCTTAAATCTAACGAGACGGGGATGAGTTGGAGATACTTTTACGGTACCGGTGGCACGGCAGACTCCCCACAAAGATACGAGAGCACCTCGCCTCACAAGATCTTTTTTCGTAACACTCGGAGTGGCGAACCGATCTTCCGATCTTGGCTACTTTCATCGCAAAAAAGTGCCATCAAAGCGTTTAGTAGCCAACAGAAAAGAGCAACAGAAGGCGCCAACAATGGATTCCCGCAGATTGCAAATATTAGTTAGTTAGCTTTTAAGCTCCCAGCACATGAAATGCTCCGAGGAAACAAGATCCAACTCAAAGGTGCCCGGAAAATTGAGTGCTGTTGGCTTTTTCCAAAATTCTCATGTTCCAATGCTGCATCGAACAAGTAATCAAATTCGCTTCCGCTACCTCTCCGAGTTGGGTATCCGGCCCTCATCAGAGAATGGAAGAAGAAGACCAAGTATCGCCAGCAACAACAAGCCTGTGAGTGGACGCCGACAAGTGAGGTTTGACGATACAATCTCCAATGTAGAGGTGCCCCCTTTTCCAGTGCCCGTCGCCACCAACGAGCTCTGGTACAGTGCCGCAGAACTCCAAGAGGCTGCCGAACGAAATGTCGTGGAACAAATGTTTGAGGATTGCCAGGAAGAAGACTTGAGTGCCTCCTCCAGCCATCAATCATCTCCCACGCCTAGCTACCAGAGTATTCCTGATGCCTATGATGCCACCGCAAGAAGGATCCAGGAGCTCAGTCGGCTGAATAGACCCCTTGCTATCCGGAACGCTTGCTTGAGACCTCCCGGAAGACCGGATCTGGTGTACATGATGTCGCTACAACACGTGTAGCATCGCCAACTCGACTCCGGCAAACAACCCTGACGATGAAATATGGGAAGAAGTCGAAATAGAGGATTTACACAAATGCAAGGATAGAACGGCTCCTAGCTAGCTAAATCTACATGATAGTACTCTTTCGCCTGCTGTCTGGTCGTCTAAGCAAGGTCAATGGCCACTAGAATTTCTAGTATCGAATCCCTACGGGAAGGGGTCGAAATAGAGGATGTACCAACTGCAAAGGATAGAACGGCTCCTAACTCAATCTACATGATAGTACTCTTTCGCCTGTCTGGTCGTCTTCTTGTGTGCCTGAGGGCCATGGGTGCATCGATTGAATCATTCGCTTCTGGCTTCTGTAACAATGGCAGTAGCTAGTTAACCCTCCGCCAAGCCCCTTGCCTTCTACCGGTATATGGCTGTGTGCTGTGCATGCATAGCCACTATGAACAAGCCACAACAGCAGCAGTGATGTCCAAACATCCAATGCATACGCAGCAAATTTTGCTCGTCTGTATCCAAGGGTTGATGTGGCGCGCACGTACCGTATGTATGTGTGTACACTCGCCGCTTGTGCGACAGACGGGGAGAGACGGCACGGGGTAGAGCGGGGAATCCCAGCTCTCAAGCTGCCTTGATGAACATCAACCAGAATCTTGGGATTGCCAACGTAGTGTCACCGGCCTTTGTAACATAAAATATGGCACTATCTAGATTACGATTCAGAAGTATTGCCTTTCACAATTCTGGCTTTTTTCTTTTTGGGTTCGTCTTTCAAATGGTTCAAAACTGCTAGAGTGCGTGGGCCGAAAAGTTCGCCACCATTTTGTCCACCGATAGTATATCCAGTCATGAGTCTTGTCACACGACATGTTCCGATTTCGATTCCACGCAAGGTTTCCAGCCATCCTTATGACACGCTTGTGCAGGACTGGCATCGTGGTTCGTGTTTGCAGGATATTGGACAAGGAGTCGCACACAGCTTTCCGTAGTGAGCTTCTTGGCAACACTAAGTCTTGTTGACACCCATTCCGGGTGCACCTTTTTTGCAATGGATCCGACACCTCTTTTGACTGGATCTCCACGCTTCTTGTGGAAGAGCCATTCTGGAACCAATGTTCGCATTGCGTGGGCTTGGTCCGACTCTTTTCTAAACTTGGTCTGCGAAATGACAATCCGGTACTTCTTGTACTGCTTGTCCCACAATAAGAAGACCAGATCTGGTCCAAAATGCTTGTCAGGGTAACAGAACGGCGGGACAAGGCCCTCAAACTTCGCTCCCGCTGCATCTTGCATCCACTTTACCGTAGCAGCAACGTCATCAGCCCCAGAAACAGACGCTAGCACACCGTAAGAGGATCTGGACGATACAAAATAACCCGCAAAGTCGTCGTCTGGAAATTGCTTCACAAGTAAATCCTGCAGCTTTTGCTGAATGCCTGGAAGCATGACCCTTTCAAAGCATTCGCCATATCCGTCTTTTGGTGATTCGTGCAGGTATCGTTCTAGTACTCGCTGCAGTCCAAAAAAGCGAATACCAGCTTGGATCATTAGTGGCTCGTCAATTTTGGCAGTGAATTCAAGAATGCCTGGCTTTGAGTTGGAAATATCAAGTGCAGCAACACCAGTATGGATGAGCTCTTTCGTGCGACTTGGGAGTAGCACCGCCACACCCTCGATCGCGTATTTAAAGAAAGCGTTTTCCAAATCTCTGCGTAGTTCATAATCGTTTTCATCGACGACCCGCTCAATGGCAGCATATGCAGTTGGATGTGTTTCAACCCATGACGTCCTTCTATTGGATGCTTTGTCCAAGCTCATCCCTGCAACAAAACAGTCCAGTGCCTGGATAAATCGTTCGGTGTTTGCGACGGGATACAGCTTACAATTCAGCTTTACAGCTTTACAATTAGCAGGCTTATTCTAGAAAATAATCAATAGCTGCTCACTTATTTGGAAATACAAACTTTGCATCTCTTAGATCCTTAGATTAATCAATGCACAATGGTATTGTCGCATGGTAGCATGCGAGGTTATGAGATGTTACTCATTCTTATTCTTA